TTTTTTTTTTTTTTTTTTTTTTTTTAAAGCACCTCTGCTCATCTTGTAGTTGCCAACCCTGCAGGATCATCCTGGAGTCTCCAGGAATTAAAGATTAATCTTTAATTAAAATTATGTCATGTGATGAAACCTCCAGGAAATACGTCCAACCAAAATTGGCAATCCTAGCAGGACTGCAGGTATAAAGGTGCTGAATAATCATAGGACTGGAAGGAACCTGGAGAGGTCATCTAGTCCAGTCCAGTCCCCTGCACTCCATAGTAGGACTAAGTATTAACTAGACCATTCCTGACAGGTGTTTGTCTAATCTACTCTTAAAAATCTCCAGAGATGAGATTCAACAACCTCCCTAGGCAATTTATTCCATTGCTTAATCACCCTGACAGTTAGGAAGTTTTTCCTAATGTCCAACCTAAACCTCCCTTGCTGCAATTTAAACCCATTGCTGCTTGTCCTGTCCTCAGACGGGAAGAAAAACAATTTTTCTCCCTCCTCCTTGTAACAACCTTGTATGTACTTGAAAACTGTTATCATGTCCCACCTCAGTCTTCTCTTTTCCAGACTAAACAAACCCAATTTTTTCAATCTTCCCTCATAGGTCATGTTTTCTAGACCTTTAATCATTTTTGTTGCTCTCCTTTGGACTCTCTCCAATTTGTCCACATCCTTCCTGAAATGTGGTACCTACAACTGGACACAAATACGCCAGTTGAGGCCTAATCAGCACGGAGTAGAGCAGAAGAATTACTTCTCGTGTCTTGCTTAGAACACTCCTGCTAATACATTCCAGAATAATGTTCGCTTTTTTTGCAACCGCTGTACACTGTTGACTCGTATTTAGCTTGTGGTCCACTATGACCCCCAGATCTCTTTCCGCAGTACTCCTTCCTAGGCAGTCATTTCCCATTTTGTATGTGTGCAACCAATTGTTCCTTCCTCCAATGGAGTACTTTGCATTTGTCCTTTATTGAATTTCATCCTATTTACTTCAGACGAGTTTGTCCAGATCATTTTGAATTTTAATCCTATCCTCCAAAGCGCTTGCAACCTCTCCCAGTTTGGTATCGTCCGCAAACTTTATAAGTGTACCCTCTGTGCCATTATGTAAATCATTGATGAAGATATTGAACAGAACAGAACCCAGAAATGATCCTTGCAGAACCCCACTCGTTGTGTCCTTCCAGCATGACTGTGAACCACTGATAACTACTATCTGAGAATGGTTTTCCAACCAGTTTTTCACCCACCTTATAGTAGCTCTATTTAGGTTGCATTTCCCTAGTTTGTTCATGAGAAGGTCATGCAAGACCGTATCAAAAGCTTACTAAAGTCAAAATATACCACGTCTACCGCTTCTCCCCCCCACCCCCTCCCCATCTACAAGGCTTGTTACCCTGTCAAAGAAAGCTATCAGGTAGGCTTGACACAATTTGTTCTTGACAAATCCATACTGATTGTTCCTTATCACCTTATTATCTTCTAGATGTTTGCAAACTGATTTCTTAATTATTTGCTCCATTATCTTTCCAGGTACAGAAGTTAAGCTGACTGGTCTGTAATTCCCTGGGTTGTCCTTATTTTCCCCCCCCCTTTTTTTTTTTTAAATCTAATGTAATATATCTGTGTTTATAGGTTTTACCTGTGCTCTACAGAAAGAAATTCTGTACCAAGGAAAGTTATTTATCTCTGAAAAATGGATTTGTTTCCATTCCAAGGTCTTTGGTAAAGACACCAAGGTTAGTAGCGTCTCTGTGTACAAAAAGCAATGTAATTCTCTGGGATCTTGGTGATTTCTAGAAATTCCCGCTCTTCTAATATGCACGAGTGGTGTTAAGCCTCTTATCTTCTTGCTTAAGCATTACTGAACACTAACAACTATATTGCAGTAATGCCCAAAAGCAACCCGTCAGCCATTGTGCTGTACGGTGTGCTGTGTGCAGTCTCAAAAGCCCAAAGATGAAGTGGGGAAGGAGAAGAAAAGGCATTCAATATGCAGTGATCAGAGTACTGACAAGCCCACATCATGTTAGTTCCAGGTCTGAATTTTTTTAATGTTTGTTTATAATTGTTACTTGCACTACAAAGTCTAGAGGTGTTGTGGGGGACACTCTGGGTAGAAGTGGAAGATAGGAGAGAAATATAAGGGGGGAAGGAAGAGACAAAGCTGAGAAGCACAATGGACAGGGAGAGTGGGGTTTGGGAGTTGAGGAGGTGTGGAAAGGTCGGGGAAACACGTTCTCCCAACCATTGCTGTTACTCCCTATGTGGAGTGGCGAAGGGAGGCCACTGGACCCAGTGCTCTGTATTCTTGCCTGTGGGTCTGCTGGGAAGGGCAGAGGTGGGTTGTGGAAGTACAGACTTACCCCTATACTACCTGTTTGGGGAAAGAGTTCTGAGAGATTTTCATGTGTGACGTTCATCTAGTTGTTGTTTGTTGAATCATGGTGTGATAGTTCCAAGTAAGTCGTGGGCCCCATTGTAGTAGGCACTGTACGTATGGATAATAAGAGATGGTCCCTGCCTGAAGAGATTTCTGTTTTCAACATAAATTTTGCCCTGACTTCTAGTCCTTGGGATCCCGCTGAAACAAATCAGTGTAGCTGAGTTTTGGGCGGTAGTTCTTTTTAGTGGGAATACTGTGCTCTGAACGTGTAAAATATTTGTACGTTTCCTTGAATGAGAATAAGATTTAGATGCACACCCTTTCCTCCTTCTATAATTACTAGGGTGCTGATGCCATACCTTTTGACTTAGTTAGAGAAACAGATTAAAAAGTTATCAGCCCAGGAAGGAAATCAGGTCAAAGGCCTTAATAGGACACCTGATATTTGGAGGAATTTTTTTTAAGAATGTAAAATAGATTTAAAGAATGATTAATGATAAATTGTTGTTCATAATAGTTGCTTATTGCATTTGCGTGTACTATTACATGACTCACGTAACTGAGTTGTTTGTTGTGAATTAATAGATTGCATTAGTCATAGTTATTTTTTGACATGAATGGGGAAATGGCACAAGTGTTTAATAACAGCCATATAGAACAAATAAGGAAGCTGAAATTAACAAAAGGATCATGTTGTGCCACCCTTGCTCATTAAGTACAACCTTCCTTGGCAAGTAATTCCATTGAAATTAATGAGACTACTTGTAGAGTAAGCTGATACTCAGCACAAGTAAAAGGGGCAGATTTTGGCCCAAACTGAAGTTCAGCTTTGAAGTATGCAAGCTAACATACATGAGGAAATGTAATCCGACACACTCTCACTCAATGGGAGGGATAAACCTTGGGAAGTCAGTAATGTGGAAAGAGACTTAGGAATTAGACATTTAGCTATGTGTTATGATGTCAAAATACATCCGTATAGTTTTTGGGCTGCATATGGTACACAAAAACATCCCATCATAGTGCAAGGGGCTATACGGTCTCTCTATATATGACTGTGATACAACTGCACTAGGTTACCTGTTGGAAAGATATTGAGAAATTGAAGGGATTCAGAGAAGAGTAACAATGCCTGCCACTTCTGGGCTGTGCAGCAACCACAAATGTTCCTAAGAGTGAATCACACTTCTGAATCACAATTTCGGTTTATGCTGCATAGTTTGTTTGTTTGTTTGTTTCCAAGTTGCCCATAGTTTCAGTCCTCTGGACAGTGAGTATTGTAGATGGATAGCACAGATTGGTAGAAGTGAAATGGTCTTACAGTGATTCTCCCTGGTAAACAATTGCTGGCATAAGAGTGTAGGAAATGGGTAATCCATCCCACTTACATTATTTTTCCTCTTTTTGAACTAGGATATCACAATTAATATCGGTCATCAAAATTAGTATGAAGCAGAAACTTCATTAAACTTTAATACAGTCGGGATGACTCTATTTGATGAAGTTTGCAGAATATCTCTTTTATTGACCTATTTCTATTTAAATATCTTTATTTAATAATGCTGACAGTAAGAGTCATTTTCCAGAAAAAAATTACTAACAAAGCCCTGTTAAGAAATTCTTACCATCTAACTACACAACATATGATACAAACAAAGGGGAAAGGCTTAGGTGCTGGAACTAGGGGTGCTGTGGGTGCTTCTGCACCCCCTGGCTTGAAGTGGTTTCCATCATATACAGGGTTTACAGTTTGGTTCAGTGGCTCTCAGCATCCCCCCCACACCCTACAAATTGTTCTAGCACCCCTGAGGAAAGGTAAAGAAAGCAGGTTGAGGTAAGCAGGCTATTTTCAGTAGAGATTTAAAGAAGTGGGTTAGAGGCATTCCGGTCATGATGTGAAAACAGCGTAGTAAGCAGGCCAAGTAGAAGTTCAGGGTGTGTGTGTAATATATATAATACACACACAAAATTGAGAATTGGAGATGGGCCAGAGTTGCAAATTTTGGATCCAAGGCTCCCAAAAACCTCAGGGGTGTTTTGAACTTGAAGCTTTGATTCAGGCCCATCTTTTTATCAAGAAACTTATTAGCAATGGCTTTTGATCAAAGTGGCCTTGACCTCTTCTCTAGCCTTTAGGGTGAGGGTAGAATATCCATTTGGTTAGCCATCCCTAAAATGGTGAATGACAAAATGTCATACCCAGGCTAAACATAAGCAAAAGCATTGGTGGTGATAGGAGTGTTAGCCAAAACATAATGAGACCATTTCATGTCTCAGTGCTGCTTTCCTTAGCTTCTGTTTATGAAGAGCCTCTAACAACTAAAAGGTGATAGATTATTCCATAAATAAAAAGTCTCCTATTTCAATTTATTATAATTCTTAGTCTGCAGTACTATATGCTTTCAATTCAGTGCTATGAAAGGTCATTTATTAACCAAATTTTAGACACATTCCCCTCTCTCCTAATCTCTTGCATGTCTTAGTCTCTCTGGACTCTGCATCAGTCAGAAGTGTAAATAACAGAAATTCGAACAGGGTGACCATTCCATCCTCTGTATAGCCTGAAGTGTCACATCTGCCTGTCTTGCTGCCAGTCTTTTATTGGAAACAGAGCCTGCCCTTCATGCTCTCTCTAGTAATATGGGATTTTGAAGTGGGACCAATACCAAACTCCTGAACTAAAACACCCTGAAACGTGAGAGAGTCCTTGTTAGAAACCAAACTTTGGCATGAGTGGGCTAAATCCTTTTAGTTATGCTGAAAGATCTGAACTGTTTACTCAGCTGCTTGCTACAAACTAGGCACTGTATAAGTAGTGGGGTAGAGTTTGAAATATGTTGATTCTTTGACCTGTATCTCCTGTAAGCTATGTTCTGGAATGTTTCTTCTCCTAAATAGTCTGCTATGGGACCTTGCTTCTTTTACACTATTTGCTGACCAGATATTCTTCAAAATTAGAATAAATTCAGATCTCTTCTGAAAATTCTAGACCCCAGAAATGGGGAGGGAGGAATTGCTTTTGTTTCTTACATGCTTCACAAACTTTTGTTAGTGTAAAACATAGCTGATGAAGTAACATTTAGACTTGAGTAAAATCAAAAAATAGAGTTCCTTACATCAACCCACACCTATTGTGTGTAACAATCAAAATGGGGCTCTGGAAAAGATGTAGTGTTTCAGCATACTTGATCTATGTTAGTGGATTGGTTTTCACATAAACTGCTATTTGTATATAACCAATAAGGTAATTGAAGTATTATATTATTTTGGCGCACTAACAACATGATGTTTTCATTTCAGATTAGTATTCCTGTGCTCTCGGTAACACTAATAAAGAAAACCAAAACTGCCCTTCTGGTGCCAAATGCTCTGGTCATAGCAACAGTCACTGACCGGGTAAGCGTAGAGTTATCTTTGACCTCTCTTGCTTTCGTCTCTCCTTACTCCTAGAATTTGTCATGGTGGAATCTTGAGGGAACAGGTGGCTGTTCAGAATATCGAGGCACAGACTAGTCCCATGTGGCCATTTTAGGGTCACAAAACCAAGCCCTATAGGATTTGACCAACTCTATGGCCTGAAGCACCCCTCTGAGGGGATCTTCTCTTTGCCTGTCCTGTGGGAAAGGGGTGCTTCAATCTTCCAGAGTACCATATTTCCCTTGGGACCCACAGAAGATGCAGATCTGCAGGGTATTGAGAGAAGAGGTGGGGTATAGAGAAGCAGGGCACCAGCAGCTCTACATGGACCTACAAACCTCCCAGATTACTACCTGGCAATCCAGGATGGAACTAAAACAGCTGAGGAAATTAATCTATTTTGGGAGCCCTTTATGCAACTGCAGGGAGTCCTATCTAGTGGCAGCAGGGCTTGGAGGGAAAAGTATCATCTACTGGATCAGCAGCCCCACCTCCTACAGCACCTCTGGCTCTGTTTGGTGATCTCCAGTCCAACCAGTAACAATCTAATTTAGTTCAGTTACAACATAATAGCAGCCCATGTTGGTATTCAGGATTGTTTCTTATTTTTATTTATTTATTTATTTCTTCAAAAAAAAAAACTGAGAACTCCTACAATATCTATGCATTGGAAGGGGTCTGATTTTCAATATAATTTGACCAGGGAGGGGATGGGAAAGGCAAGTTGATTTTTTTTTTATTTTTTTTTTTTTACCCAGAATTTGAGTGGGATGGGGAAAATATACTGCACCTAGTCTTATAGTTCTTACCCAGCAAAACTTCTGAGTTTTTTACCTGGGTGTAGACTGCAGGCTTTGGCAAATTATGATAGGCCTAGTCCATGTTTCTTTGTAAAACTCTTAAACTGTGTTCTTTCCTTCATATATTCTAGGCCTTTCTTTACTATCTGCAGGCCTTTGAAAGTAATTGCTGAACCAGCAAGTGCACCCTGTTAATAACTGATGAGATGAAACTTGTGCAAAATCTTTTTTTCAAACAATTATGTAAATTATTACTTTTGTCTTTCAGTTCATATTTGTCTCCTTGCTCTCCAGAGACACAACCTACAAGCTATTAAAATCTGTCTGTAGCCACTTAGAGGTAAGTATTGACAGAGTGAAGTTCAGTTATGTTCTTTATGACTGCTTTTTATTTTAAAGATTAGCAATTAAATAACAATTTTTTTTATTTAAAAATTGGCTTTCAGGATATAAGTGTTGGCAACAGTCCCAATCCTTCTTCCGCCGAAAACAGCTTTAGGGCCGATCACCCTATGACCCTGCCTTTGGTAAGATGGTTTATTTTGCTTTTGATAAAGTTCCATTTATTAAAGTCCAAATTGTCCAAACTCTTCTATTGTCTCAAACTGAAGGAAAGCTTGAGACACACACACATTCTGTCACCTCAGAAATCTCTGAATGAACTGCAAGTGGTTGGTGATACCAGCATAGATGTAATCTTCTCTCCACAAGAATGATACATGAATAGATGTGATGTCTGTATATGTGCTCTGAGTATATAACAATGCCCGTTATTAAGGTCTGTATGTGGGCTGTGCACTGACTTGCATTTTTCTTCCTTTCCACATGCCTGTATTTCCAGCAGTCAATCTTTCACTATGCTCTGTGCTAATTTAGAGTTGCAGTAAGCGGCTTCCCTTGTCATTGAAGGCAGAATAACAGGCTTCTCAAAGCTTCCCCTTGCAAACTTTCCCCTACATGCCAGGTCAATTCGTTGGTCTGAAGAAAAGCTGCTGTTCAGTAGCTGACATACGCTGTAATCAATGACCAAATAGTTCAAGCTACAGCTGTACTAAATTCTTCATCTATAGAGTGACACCTTTTAATTTCTGCTGCTCTGGTTACAGATTTCAGATGCAAGTAACCCAAAGTAATGGAGTAAAAACAAATAATCTTCATAATTTTAGGCCTTGCCTGGTCTTTTTCATTACTTTTTGTCCCTTTAGGATTTCAGTGAAGACTACTCAGATTTGGATGGTATAGTGCACCATCGGAGACAAGAGTTGGAAGAGTCTAGCAGTACTGGCTCTCAGACCCCTGAATCGGAACGCTTCCAAGGTCAGCATAATCTTGATATTTTAAGACTGACAGTATTTAGAGCAGTGTTTTCCAAAGTGTGGGGTATACCCTCCGAAGGATAGGTGACATGAAAGGTTACCTTGAGAGTACAGATGGATGTCTCAATTGTTCTCCAGAGTCTCAGCTTTGATTTTAAAAAAATGCCTAGCTATTATGGGTTGTGGAGAAAACCTTCAGAACATAATCCAAGTGTAACCAAGGCAAAGACATCTGCCAGAGTCTGCTGGCAGCCTGAAGCAATGGTTCTGAGGTGTGAACTGAGCCATTCATTTCAATGGGTGCTAATTCAGATGCTAATGACCATGCTTTAGAGATCAACTTTCCCCATCAAAGCATTTAGGAATGGAGAGGAAGTATCATACTATGAAGATCTACATCATGTTTTCCCAAAGTGTGGTTTGGGTGGAGAAGAGGAAAGAACAGAAGATAGATAAATTAAGGTGTGTAGGCCTTTAATGTTACATCCAGCTTCCAGCCATTGGGGGGTGTTATGTCTTTGCTAGTTTAGAGTGCTCTTTACCATCAAAAACTTTCTTTGCATATAGGTACTTATAAGTACCCCTTAACCTTCTTTTAAATATGCTAATAGATCAAGCTGCTTTACTCTTGCTTCAGGCATATTTTCCACACCTTGAATCATTCTTGTAGCTCTTTTCTGAATCCATTCCAATCTTTTAACCTTCTTTTAGAGGTCTGAACACCAGAACTGAACCTGGTAGTCTAGCAAGAGGAAGCATGATCCAGTTTAAGGTGCTAGACTGGAATTTGGATTCAGTTCCCTGCTCTGCCTCAGACTTCCTGTGGGACCTTTGACTTTGTTCCCCAGTTCTCTATCTGCAAAATGGTGTAGTAGTACTTCTCACAGGGAGGTTGTAAAAATAAATACATTGAAGAATGAGGCACTCATTTACTATGGTAATAGGACCTATATAACCACCTTAGATAGATAGTAATGGTCTAAGCAGTACCCTATACAGAGATAAGGCCACTTCCCTATTTCTTCTTGGTATTCCTATTTGTTAGGCTTCTCAGGGTATGTCTACACTCCAGCTGGGAGCATGCTTCCCAGGGCGAGTAGACAAGACATGCATTAGCGCTACTCAGTCAAGCATTCTAAAAATAGCTGTGATAGCACAGGCAGTGGCTCAGGCTAGCCACCTAAGTACAAACTTACCTGGACCCCTTGGGTATGTATTCGGGCACCTAGTCTAAGCTGCCACCCATACTACCCCCAGCTATGTAGATATTTCTAGCACACTTGCTCAAGCAGAGCTAGCATGTGTCTATCTACTCACACTAGAAAGCAAAGCAAAGCACTTACATTGCAAGTCTTTTTGTACAGGGCCAGCCCTATGTTTTTCTGTCGCCCAGGCACAAAATATTTTTGGTGCCCCCGAGCATGGTGACTTGCCACCCCTCAATGTTGGCACTCAGGGCAGCCATCCTGGTCTCCTGTCCTGAGTCTGGGTTTGTCTTTGCAAAGTTGAGGGCATTAAACTCTGTTCCTAGGATCAGGAATCTAATTTCCTTTTCACTTAGAGTGACTGGGGTGATTTGTATATGCCTTTGTACCGGAAACCAGATTAAGTTCACAAAATATTGTCTACTGCATTAATTTTCAGTTTTATATGTCAAGTAGCAATGTAACTTCCTCCTTCTCTGCTGACCCATTCCTAATATGAACAGCTGAATTCCTGCTTTATCCCATATTAGTTTAAGTAAATACGTGCTTTTGTGTCATGGTGCAAGATAGACAAAACAAAAACTATTTATCCTTGAAGCCTTGGGAAGTATCGCAGATGTTTCCGTTTTTCCACCATTTTCTTAGAAGAGGCTGGCTTTGGGCATATGAGCTTATTCACTCAAGGTTCTTTGAACAGTATCTGCAAATGCCTTAATATATACAGTTATCCTTCCTTAGCCCTGTGTTTGCTTGATGTAATTGCTTTCTGTAACCAGTCATCCCAAAACATTGCAGGAGGAGGGTGGGAGGCGAAGAGGATTTTGCTGCATCCTTTAATTATAATGGGAATAGTGGAGTGTCAATCTTTGCAATCTAAAGAAATAAGGCAAAAATCTGCTGTGTTACACTAGTGTAAGTAGTGCCAATGTGCCCTGAGTGTCTAGTACTTGTAATGTTATTTTATGCCTCCTGGGCCATTCTGTGTTCTGCCTTGCAATTCCAAATCATTATCTGTATCACATGAAAAGCCATTTTAATAACAATAACTTCTAATGAGGCAGTGTATCAATCCTCTTTTGTTTAGAATAGCCTAAATTATTTTGGGGAAACTGTTCTGTGCTAATCAGGAGGTCAGACTAGATGATCACAATCCTCCTTTCTGGCGTTAGAATCTATGAATCTATTAACTGGGTTAGGTTTAATTTGGTAGGGCTTTTTTTACTTTGTCACAAAGTTTGAAGCCCTTCCCCCTCCCCTCCCACCCATGTTTACCAAGTGGGTTTCTGAAACAATTATTTGGTGGTGTTAGATAGCAACAACTAAACTGCTTGCTACCACCCGCTGAACACATTTCAGTTTCAGCTCACATCTCCATGGCAGTATTGCTATACCATCAGTTATATGGCCAACTTTTCTAATACTTGCATTCTCTAGGCTGCTTTGAGAGTGCAGAATTCTGTCCTGCAGGAACTAAGAACTTCCTTGTACTGCTCTATTCAAAGTGCACTTCTCTAATCTGCTTTCACAAGTAAAAGCCCAGCATCCCATTTTTTAAAAAACTAACTTAGTGCATCATTGCAGCATACTCAGATACCACAGTTACAGGTATGCTATCAGAACCTGAACTGACTATAATTAAATTGGATTCCTAAATATAGCTATCATCCAATTTCCAGCAAAATAAATTGGCAGTCATCAAAGAGAATAGCTGGTCAGTGTGTGGCTAATGGCAGGACTTGTGATTTGGTCACATTGACCTGGTAGCTTGCTATTTTGGTGAAAACCACAATTATTTTCAGTGTTCTTAATTTCAAAAGGGCAGGTTCTAGGATTAGTAACCATGTCATCAACATTTCACTTCCACTCATAATATAGAAAACCTTCTTTTAGGACTAAATATTTGTTTGTACCTACTTGAAGAGGAGATAGGAGAGTAATTTTCAAAAAAAACATTTCATTTTTGCTTTCCTCCAACAAAAAATGAATAGTGGACACACTTGTGCTTCTGCCCAATATATGCCTGGATCCAAGTACTTGAAATTCCAAGTACTCAGATTTTGTGAGAACGCCATTGCAAGAGCAAAATTTTAATTAAATTAAAAAAAAGAGAGCCACCCTTTAGAATATTAGGAAGCAAGCGTGTTTGTTGGAGCTACCCTTTTAAAAAGTAGTAGTGATCCAATGCCCCAAAGTTAATGATATTGCTACTGCAGTGGTTTGGATCACTACTATAGAATATTTGTGTCTAGTATTTGTACATGTTCTTCACTGATAGATGACAACCCTCATGAGCTTTGCAGTTAACTTTAAACTTGCCAAAGGAACTTGAATACATTATATCAAAGCATTTCACCACTGCTTTTTTTTAGCTTGTAAAATATGTAGAACTGTTATGCAGATTGTACTAAAATCTTAAGATGAATCTTCTAATTAAACCACCTGTATCCAGATCCCAGAAGGGCTTCCCTTCCAATCTTCATATTGGGGGAAACTCTGTCTAAGCTGATCTTAATCGTTTCCTTTGTGCTTCATTTAATTTAAAATCCAATCTTGTTTTTGACAGATTACCACATCATTGAGACCCAGACTCATCTGAAAGTTTCCAAGGCAGAAGCAAAGTCTATCCATACAGACATACTCAGTAAACATATGCCTGAAGGAACAGGCAGGAACATTCCCAGAAATGGTAAAGAACCAAAGCTAGATCTTCAGCATGTATAAATTGGTATAGCTCCACATACGTGCAGGCAGCTAAACCAGTTTACATCAGTAGGGTATCTGTCCCTCACTGTTTACATCCTTTGCCACATATTTGCAGTCTCTTTTGTTGTGTTATGTCAGTCCAGTTTGATCAAAATAATTCTGTTCTTCTCACAACAGGCCAGGCTGGAGCCTTTGGATTCTTCCACAGAGTGAAGTCCCACAGATTTTTGTCTCTGAACCACATACTTGTTTTCTATGCAGTTCTGTAAGTGAACAGTTTTTTACCAAGACCATCAGAGTCTCCTCATACCTTTATTACACCAGTCTTACAACAGTGTTGATTTCAATGGAGTTGCACCCCCGCCCAGTGTAAAACTAGAAGCATGTTTAAAAGTCGGTTTCTTCATTCCTCCTTGTTCATGTACCAGTAATAAGATTTTACAGTAAAATTTATTCTGCTGCATAAAAGCCAACAGAAGAATACCATTTTTTGTGAACTTTCTAAATTGCTCAAAGAAGTGATCCAGGGTAGGTGTGGATTTTATAGCCTATGCCCTATAGAAGCCTCTAAGGTGATTGTGACAGCTAAGTTTAAGAACACTACATAAATGTCCATCCAAATAACAATTAGCACTGCTGTAGATTCTAAGGATGAGATTTTTCAAAGCTACCTGAAACATGGGGGGCAGCAGATGAATTGAGTCCAGTGCTCTAAGGCAGCTTTGAAAATCCCACACTAGGAATTGTACAGTGTACAAATAATAACTTTATTCATTGATTTTTAAAACAAGTATTGTCAAACTTCTTTTCGGATACATCTGTCTGAGGGTGCTATTCTCCAACTAACACAGCTGTCTTGTCATTTATTTTTCCCCTGCAGTGTCTGTGTCCTAGTCTTTTCTACCTTCTACATGAGATATAAAATCAATGTTCTGGAGGAACGGCTAGTCTCCATGGCTTCCTTTGTTGACTCCCATATTAATGAGTAAGAAGGCATCATTTTTAAAGGAGAATAATATTCTTCTGTTTTACACACTAAGCTCTGCTGGACACCTATCTTCTTCAAAACCTCATGATAATTGATGACAATTTAGTGCTATGCAGTTCTTGAGCCTGCATTAGTCTCATCTCATAACTTCCTCTGTTTCTCAGGAGCATTGGGGTACTTCAAGAGAATTCAGGTATAACCTGGATTTAAGCAAATTTCAGTTAATTGGGAGTAAAGATTATACAGAGTGTTATGGGACAATATAGAGTTGTACTGTATTCTCCCTTCAAAGAGGCATATTTCAGAGTTCCTGAAATTTGGCTGATTTGCAAAGGAAACCTTTATTCTCCAGGTGCTATCTGGCTAGCTTTAGATACTTCAAAACCTGCAGGCGGGTTCCTCTGATTGTGTGCGTTGTGGGGAAGAGGGTTCCTGAAGTTTTGGGCTACCTTCATCTTCAGGCTACACCAATCCTACTGCACTAATACCCCATTTTGTGATGCAGCACAAAGAAAAGGGGGAAAAATTGACTCCCTCAAGAACCTGGGCTGCTCTGGGTGCCAGTGTGGCCATCATCAGCATAAATTAGAGCAGTCAAAAGGTCCTTTAATGTATGGCAGCCTCCTGAGGGCCGCCTATAGACTGCTACACAGTTCAGAGCAGGCTGGAGCCCCCATAGTGCTGTGCACTATGGGTCTGCCCCCTCCACCGGAAATTGTTACGGCCACTTATGGCTGCTGTGTGCTGTGCGTTCACTAGGGGAATTTTCCCATGACTCTTGTGGCCCAGTGCCATTCCCTCAATGTTGCAGCAGCGTGCAGAGCTCAGGTCAAGGGGAAAATTTGTCCCGAGTGGCTGTTTTCTTGCTTCATAGATTTAGGCCTGATCTATATTAGAAGGGGTTTGCTGGTATAGCTATACTGGTATAATTATATTGGCAACCCCCCTACTGGGGACATAATTTATATAGACAAGAGGTTTTTTTTTGTTTTGTTTTGTTTTTTTTAAGGTATGTCTTATACCAGTTTTTCATATAAAATAAGTTCTACCAGCTCAAGGACTTTTTTTTGTCATTATAACTGCATCTACACTAAGGCTTTATCAGCATAGATATGTTGGTAGGGGCTTGATTTTTATTATTTTTTTTTCCCCCCCCACACTCCTGACTGACTTAGCTCTCCCAGCAAACTTTGAAGTGCAAACCTAGCCTTAAACTGTTACGTATATTAATGGGGCAAGCGGGGGGAAGTAGATAGGAAAATACAAGTAATTCAGTTAATGTCAGTATCAATAACCTAATCCACTAACTCATGAATATTTATTCTTACTGACTAGTATGCACTATGAATGTCTATATTGCACTAAAAAACATATAAAAGGTCAGATCTAATAAGCATTTATTTCTAGTGCAGCCAATTCTGGTATTCAGGGATCATTCAATGCTTAAGGTGCTTGCAAGAGATCAAGTTTATTCTGTGTTTGCTTCCAGTTGGCTGTGCTTAACAAGAGCTTCAGGGTGCCCCACCCAGGCTCTGTCTGGTAATCTCAGCCATTGAAGGCACAGTCCCCAATACCACACCAATAAACTCTCATCTGCACTTTCAGGTGGTTTAAAATAGATTTCCATGCACCAAAACAATGACCTCAGTTAATGGAAAAGGCAATAAAAAGTAAGTAGTGTGTGGAGAGTTTGGATTAACCCTTGGACCCTCCAAATGAACCTTCACCATCCTTGGTAAAAGGTAGTGAGCAGGGCCGGCTCCAGGGTTTTGGCCGCCCCAAGCAGCCCAAAAAAAAAAAGCTGCGATCGCGATCTCTGGCGGCAATTCGGCAGGAGGTCCTTCGCTCCCAGCGGGAGTGAGGGACCGTCCGTCGAATTGCCGCCAAATAGCTGGATGTGCCGCCCCTCTCCGAAGTAGCCGCCCCAAGCATCTGCTTGCCAGGCTGGTGCCTGGAGCCGGCCCTGGTAGTGAGGTACATAGTATATTTATAAGCAACTCACTAACCCTCCTGAGTTTCTTAAGCAAACACAGGGCCTGCCCCTCGTTACAACATAGTTCCCTCTCCAGACCCATTTCTTAGCACCCGCTATGGCTGTTTTTTTTTAAAGACAAAAACCAATAACATTTCCTTTGCCAACCTCACTCTGTACCTACCTGTTGTCAGGAGCCAACCTAGTCTTCAGCACAGAGCAGCTGGGGGCTCCATGAAAGTCTGACAATACAGATTTCCCCCCAGGCTCCTCCTACACTCTGTCTGCTGCAAGCACATGATTCCCAGGCTAAGGGAAGGAATGGGACCCAGCAGCAGGGAGACAGTTGTCCTTAAGAGAGCCAATTAGAGAAGAAATAGTTATTCCATAGCAGGTCCGAGCACAACTTGCTTCAGCTAGGGCTCCTGACCCAGCACTGGTCTGAGCCCCACAAACTTAAGATCCTACCCAGACATAGAAACGCCTAGTCACTGCACCAAAACCACAGCTAGTTGGGTTCAAAGGTGAATATAATTGGGGAAACTGACCAGTTTTTTAGGGTTACATTCAAGAGTGGACTATATTCTATCCCTCATGTGATTGTGAGCCTTCCTAATCTAGCATGCAAAAAATGGTTAAAAATCAAATAGTAAACCAGAATGCAAAACTACAACAGCAGGTGTTGTACCCGGAAAAGTTGACATAGTCAGCCAGCTGGAGAAGCACCACCTGAAAAACAAGCAGCCAAAGAAAGCAACAAAAGGCTAAACCTAACACAAGGCAGTGCCATACCCGGAATGGGTGGACCTGTCTGCAAAGTATTGAAAGGGCCCAATCTCTTGGGTTAAGTTACGTTACACTTCTAACTCCATTTTCCTGGGGGAGTCATCCATGACAAAACACTCCCTGACAAAACATTCCAGGCCACTTAGAAAAACTATTGCACCATTTAGGGTCCAATTCTGCTCTCAGCTACTTATGCAACTTCCACTGACAGTGGGGATAGTGTGCATCTATCAGAGGGCAGAGTTAGGCTCTTGATTATTAATTTAAAGGAGTGGGAAGGGAATAATGCCTTATCTTAACTGGAATGTCTGGAAAGCTGTTCATCCACTGGTTTGTCCCTTATTTAGAGTTGTGTAAGACTGTTAAGGCTCCTTCAAACCACTTTGATAATGGAGGGAGGGTCATTCCAATGTGGTCCAAACTTTTAAAGGATAGAGAATGATCCTAATGTGCACTTTCCACTCTTTGTTTGGATCCATGTCATAAGACACAAGCATACTTACAGAAGGATTTTACTAATAAAAATGCTTAAGAATTTCCATCTTGGTTTCTGTAGAATTAGTCTGGTAAAGAATGTAGTCTGAGGGCACAAATTACATTACAGAAATACTGTGCTAAATAAGTATCGTACTAACAATGTTCCCATTCAAATCCTTCATTGCTCTCTTTATAGAACTTCTATTACATGTCCTCATCTTCCCTTTCCTCCTTCACATCTCGTTCTTTTGTTTAACAGCCAGCCAGTGCAACAAGGCCTGGGATCCCATCTGCAAATTAATGCTGATGCCCTCTGTGGTGAACTAACAGCTAACCTCATAAAATTGGAAAAGGTAATTTATTGAGATGAATAATATTAGGTAAGTACTTAAATGCCCAGTACTCAGGATACATGATGATCACAATAGGTTTTTGTCAAACCACTGATGCTTCTTTCCCAAAAGTACTAGACCCTCCAAGATTTGCTTTTGTAGATCTCGGAACAGCATCTCTGGAAGAGTGTGCACCACCTTCCTGAGGTGAAACAGTTCTTGAACAAATGCATAAATTAACAGTTAAGCCTGAGCATGTGTGTCAGTATATGTGAGTGCTGCTTTATGAGAGGTTGAGAGATCAATTGCCATTTAATTACTTTGAAACCTCCAGTGATTTGTTGTTTATGATCAGTTAATGACCTTCATTTTTGGCTAGTAAGGCAACAGACTTTTGATATTACCTTTCTTAGGTAATATGTTTCTCCAGTCTGTTTTGTCCAAACAATAAAAGCTGCTGGAATGCCAGTGTCCACCTACAAAGTGGGTGTTTAGTAATGCCTGTTACTGCTTAGTAACATGAATGCACCAGCCATTTGTTCCCTGCAGATGACCTCTTCTCTTTTCCATTTACTAATTGCAGAACTAAATGTATTTGCTATCCCCAGCTGGAAAATCAAACAAAAACAAGATTAGGCAGGAAGGTATATTTTCACTCATTTACATTTTAAGTGCAGTAAACTGATAATTAAAACTAAGGTGTTTTATTTTTTTCCATTGGCCCAGCATGTAAGTTGTATTTCTACTGTTATAACTCTTTATTTAAATTCCTACATACTACAGTCACATGAGTTTTTGTTTCTAAAATGTTGATAGCTTGCCAAGGTCTTTAATACAGTTTGTTTGTTTTTTCAGGTTGCATGTCACTGAGATTATTTAATATCTCTGCTAGCTATATGTCAAAGGTTTCAAAAACAACTTTGCTACCAAGGAAATGGGGCTTGATTCTCTCCTCAGTGTAAATCTGGAATCATTCCATTGACTTCATTGTCAATGTTTACTAGTTTAAAAGTAGTGAGTGAGAGGAGATTACTCACTATATGGTAAGATCTATTCAGAGACCTGCAATCTTGACCCACGTACACAGGCCAAATCATTACAATGGGATTTCTCATATAAAGACTAATGCTTCAGTTCAGCAAATCACATGAGCATGTTCTGAAGTCTCATTGATTTCAGTGGGATTTGAGCCTATGCTTTAAGTTAAATGCTTTGCTCAACTGGGGCCAAAAGAATTGAACCCCTAAAGAGACCTTAACTGTACGTATTTTCACAATAGTATTGTAAGTTGGCAGCAATCCAGTGGTCCTAGTGTCCTCTGAGCACAGGTTGTTGCATAGCAACACACCTCTCTTAAACTGGCACTCTTCAGTAAAGAATTGCTAAACCTTAGCAAGCATCTAAGCTAACACTATGGAATAATTAGCTATTTGTTTGCGAAAATTGTACGACTGGGTTGACATTCTGCTCTCATGCTAATTTTTTTTTAGATGAGGAAAGTTATTAGTCCTGGTACCTGTACTTAATGTATGCTTTCCTCTCCTCATCACATCGTCCCCATAGACTTGCAGAAGTCTGGCCTTAAACCTACTCTCCAAAAGCATTTTCAGAATTTGACCTGTTGCAGTGACCTCTTTTGAATGTGACCTTGTGGTTCTCACAGCTCTATTGAATTCCACACTTGTCGGCCACTGAATTCCTATTGGCTTAGTACCACAATATCTAGCACTTTTAGACTATTTTTGAAGGGCTTCATACAGTTTGGTTGCCAAATGTACCAGATGTATCCACCAGACAAGTGCTTGAAATGAAAAACCGAAAGGACTCGTGTGCCTCACATATGAGCCCCAGGATCTCGGTTGACTCCTCTCCCTCTTCTGAGAAGGGAATAAAATTAAAATGCAGGCACTAGATTGATAGATTCTAGGACTGGAAGGGACTTTGAGAGGTCATCGAGTCCAGTCCCCTGCCCGCATGGCAGGACCAAATACTGTCTAGACCATCCCTGATAGACATTTATCTAACCTACTCTTAAATATCTCCAGAGATGGAGATTCCACAACCTCCCTAGGCAATTTATTCCAGTGTTTAACCAGCCTGACAGTTAGGAACTTTTTCCTAATGTCCTCCCTTCCTGCAGTTTAAGCCCATTGCTTCTTGTGGGCTTAAATTTGTATATATTAACCTGGAAGCAGACTTCATTTTTTTTTCTTCCTTTCCCTCAGTGAACCCATCCCTGCTTTTTTTTTCTCAACGGGTGTGTTTTGTGTGCCTCAGGGAAGTGGGAGGGTATGATAACATGGCTTTAAGGTAACTTTCCACGATCCTGGGTCAACTGGGGGCTGGACTAGGCATGGCATAATCTTAGAGCAGCCTTTAAGGCAGCTCCATATTACACCATCTGTAGCCAGTGGCTATGGCAGCTGAGGCTCTGACAGAACACCATGCGTCCCACCTTGACATGCCCTATGCTAAAGTGGGGAGAGAAACAGGAGACATAGAGCTGGCTAAGCTAGCTTTGCACCATCCAATGGTTCCCTTGGGTAGCATTTTGGCTGCTTTGCACTGCCTTCAACAACACAAAGCAGCTGGGGCAGAGAATAGAGCCCAGTATCTTCTCCCTGGTGCTGGCTGCCACCTTACTTCTCCTTAAAGGAGTAGGCTAATTTCTGGAACATGGAATGTTTTACTTCATGATCTGTAGATTGTATCCTACTGTCCATCAGATGAGGGGGAAGCCTATCCTGTTTGAGCTCACCAAAACACTTTGAATTTCCCACTTTGAAAAACCCAAAGGCTTTTGATAAAAATTCAGTAGATGTTTTCTTAAGATTTTGGCCACATATAAAGATGGTCACCATTTTTCAATTATCAAAAAGATCAATTATGAAATTTTGAAAAATTACAACATATTGATTAATCACTTAAAAAAGTTAATGAAATTAATTACTGGGTTTTTTCCAACTCTACTGTTAGTCATGGAATAGCCCTGCTCTTTCACTAGCTAAAACTTAGTGGAAGAGCAGGACAGCTACGGAATTTACCGAAAGTGCTCCCAAGTCCTGACACCTCAGTTCCAGCTTTCCAACTGAGTTTTTGTACCTGGCCAGGGCTGTCCCTAGGTGGGTGCGGGTCCAGGACAAAGGTGACAAGTTTCTAATCTGGGGGGCTCCCCCTTGGCTCTGCCCAGGACCTGCCCCCGCCCCACCCCACTCTTCCCTGCCCAGTTCCGCTCCCTCCCCCAAGCACACTTTTGCTCCCTCACTCCTCTCCCCTCCCCCCCAGTGCCTTCTCACACCGTGAAACATCTGATCCACAGCAGGCAGGAGGCGCTGATTGGCGGAGCCCCCCAGCAGGTAGGAGGCACTGTGGGGAGGGGGAGGTTCTGGTAAGGGGGCTCCTCCTTGCCTGCCTGCTGCTCGCCTCCCCGTTTGCTTCCTCACCCCATTCATCCTCCTGCCTCACCTTCCCGCCCGCCTCCTCATGATTTTATAGAAGCGCAGGGACCCTCCAATCACGGGGCCTGGGGCGGTCGCCCCGATTTACCATACCCAAGGGATGGCTCTGTACCTGGCTGATACACATGGATGTTGGGTTGACTTCAGGATAGCAACCATTCAAAAGGGCATAAATAGCAGTGCCAGAATTAAGTGGTGCATTCAAACTTGCACTGAAGAATGCTTTCTAACTGTGTGAATAGCAGTAAGTTTATCTGAACCTTCTGTTCTTCTTTAAGATACAAAACAACTTACAAAGCCTACTTGAAGATGGTGACTGAAACCTTCATGTTCTGGGCTACTTCATACCTCATGCTCCTGCGTCTGATAAGCAGCAGCAAACACTGCAGTGAACTCTGCAGGCTGGAGTTCGTGTTCCGTTTTTTGAATCTAAAGCCACGCTTCGACTGCTGCAGTAGCTTCTCCATCTCAAAAATCTGGAGAGTGGTTTATTTTTGTGCAATAAAATATATCTGTGTATTCTGACAATAATGTCTTTCCATTGTTTGTCTCTACTGATGTGTGACTGTGTGATTTTTATAGTTTGGGGCCAAATTCTGTTCTTGGTTACTCCAGTGTAAATCTGGAGTAACTCCCTTTATCTCAATATTTGTTTTTCGTTTACATGGATGTGACTGAGCAGAATTTGGTCCTGGATGTACAGCTACGGAACCATTATGTGCAAATGCTTGTTGTCTTTCAGAGAGAGACACCTGTCTCTCTAATATTACTGTAGTTATGAATAAACACTCCATTTTTAGTTTTCTTTTCTTCTGCCCCAGTTCCCCAAAATCTATGCATGTGTCAAATACCTTCATGTCTGGTCTCTCAGGGCCAGAATCTCTGAGGTGCTGAGTGCACTCTGCTCCTTATGTGCCAGATTTTCAGCTGGTGTAAATCAGCACAACTCCATTCACTTCACTGGAGCTATACCAGCTGAATACTAGCTGAGGCTCTGGCCCATTGACTTCAATGGAAATTGAGTGCCCAGTCGATGACCAGATTAAACCCTATACAAACGCTCACAATTTCTACAGAATACCCCACCCACTATGAACTGTAGCTTCTGCAAACTCTTTACAAGGATAGCAGCCCAGTGTGCCACCTAAACACAGTTTAAAATATCCAGTATATTTTTAAATCTATCATAACACAGTTTGCTCAGGATGCCCTTCAGTGCTAAGACGCTGTCAGCTTTTCAAAGGGTCGCATGAGGTCTTAGCTGTGCAGTTCCCATTCCAGTAACTGGGAATCCCATAGCTTATTTGGTCATGGAAGATCCCACAGAGTCTATTGCCCTTACACAATGGGAACGGGCAAGTTAATGAAAATACAATGATAGAAACTATTTAATTGGAGTGAATAGAAGAAAAATAGGTGTCCCCCTGTTCTGTTTTCACAGAGCCTTAAATGATGAAGTAATTGGTGATTTTAACTCTTCGGTTTACCAAGTGGGTTGGTTGGTTTTCATGAGGCAATATTTAGGGTAGCATAAGATAGAGCCAGTAAGTAAACAGATGTTTATATATGCATTTTTATAATCATTTCTGTGAAATGTACCTTATTTTGTTTAATAAAAAATAAACTGTTTAAAAAAGTCTGGTGCTTACATGTGGAATGTACAAGCAAAATTGTAACAGTTAGTTTTATACTATAAACAAAGCTGATGTACAGTATCAGAGGGGTAGCCGTGTTAGTCTGAATCTGTAAAAAGCAACAGAGGGTCCTCTGTTGCTTCTTAAAGCTGATGTAGGTTTTTGCGATCAGAAATGTTGCTCTTACTGTGAATCCATTTTGTGCCTGTAAAATCTGTTTTCAAACCACCTTCTAAGTAATACATCATACTACACAATGCAGCTAGGGCCTGATCAAAAGCCTAATGCAGGCCATGAGAGGCTTTCCATCGGGGCCGGTGCAACCATTTAGGCGACCTAGGTGGTCGCCTAGGGCGCTAGGATTTGGGGGCGCCATTTTCTTCGGCAGCAACCGCGGTGGCCAGATCTTCGGCCACCCCGGTCGCCACCGGCATTTAGGTGGAGGGAGCTGGGGCAGTGGAGCGCGGGGAGGGCTGCCTGCAGCGGGGAGGGGGGGAGAGGAACCTGATTGGCACCGCAAGCCTGGGAGGCGGGAGAAGTGAAGCAGCCAGGGCGTGCTTGGGGAGGAGGCGGAGCAGGGGTGAGCTGGGATGGGGGGTGTGCCGGGGGGGTGGGGAGCTGCTGCGGGGGGGGGTGCCTCAGGGCAGAGGCTCGGGGACAGGGGGGGCGCAAGGTGAAAGTTTTGCCTAGGGCGCAAAACATCCTTCCACCGGCCCTGCTTTCCATTGAAGGCTTTCATTCAGATTCTTAGTGTGGATGCATCTTTCCTCCTCTCCGGGCACTGGAGAAGATCCTCAGCTGCTGTAAATCCATGTAACACCAGGACCGATTTACACGAGCTGAGGATCTGCAGGAACAAATGTTATAGTGGGGATGCTGCTGATGGAAACCATGCGTTTGTTATTCTTCAAACAAAGGGGTGCGCCAGCCCCACCAACACCCCTAGTTCTGGCACCACTGAGCATCTGGCCCATATTTGTAACATGTTGCTGTGAACCTTGGGTAAAGCTGTTCCTGAAGAATGTGGGACAGAAGCCTCTGTCGCCCTCAGCCTGTAGGTAAGGTACAGCAATCTGCACAGCTGAGCCAGGGGCCAGTTGTATAGTGCCCATTGGGCACCTCTCCCATTCAGTGGATCTGTTTCAGGTTGATGTGGTTTCCCAACAAATACACACCTCAGTGAAGAGAGCACTACAAGGCTTAGCTCTCCAGCATGCTGGAAGTTAAAAGTTCCACACCCCCAGTGGCCACTTTCCATCCCATCCTAAACGCAGCATGGCAGAAGTTCCACTGAATGGACTCTTTGTGGCTGTAAAGTTTCTGGGCGGGCCTTTCCTATTTACTTAGATGTATAAAGCAACAGAGAGTCCTGTGGCACCTTTAAGACTAACAGATGTATTGGAGCATAAGCTTTCGTGGGTGAATGCGTGTCCGACAAAGTAGGCATTCACCCACGAAAGCTTATGCTCCAATACATCTGTTAGTCTTAAAGGTGCCCCAGGACTCTCCGTTGCTTTTCACAGATCCAGACTAACACGGCTACCCCTCTGATACTTAGATGTATAAATATCACAAGTTGTGCAAACTGATAAACCTCTCCCCACACAACTTTTCACCTCACATTCCCAAACATGAGCCACATTCTACCCTCACTTATGAAGTCAGTGGAGTTCCATGGGTGCAATGGAGGGCACTAGCTGACTTCCACCAGTGAAATTAATGCAAGGGACAGGAGAGACAAGCTAGGACACAGTGCAAGCTAGGGCACTGCCGAGAGCTGTCCTAATGTGATTCCACTGCTGAGGATTATGGCAGTGAGGAATTGCTAGAACACTGGATCTCCACAGTCTTATCTCCTCTCACCCTAACACAGCCTAGTCTGTCCCACAATGGCCCCTGGAAACACCTGGTCTATGAGAGCTGTAGGCCAGTAGTAGATCTGGGCCTCAGAGTTTGCAATATGAAATGTGTGCCAAGGCTGGTAATAGTTTTCTCCATGACATTACTTGGTGAGATGCCACAACAGAGATTGTACTAAATTTTTGTTGCCTCTTGAGGCAACTTTTAAGTCGAGTTGGACAAAAAATCAATTTTTCAGTTTAGTGCTGAAAATGTTTGGGATTTGTCAGCAGATCAGAAAAGTCTGTTTCAGGCTAGCAAAATAAGAGTGAGCGTACATTTGTTTTAAAACCTTTAGGGCCATGGTTATGGCACTTGTCTGGGGTGTGGGAGACCAGGTTTAAATCCTCCCCTGGAGCTGTGCCTAGAACTCCGATTTCTTGTCTCCCAGGTGAGCACTGTAATGACCAGGTTCTAGGCTGTTTTAGGAGGGGTTGCTCTCAATCTCTCCTGTTGAAGCTGGTCCACTTTGTGGACCTACCTACACATTCATTGGCCCAAAGAGAGAGAGCGAGAGCGCACAAGAGAATGACTCTATAGCCTGGTGATGATTATGAAGCACTCACCTGGGAGGGGGCAGTGCTGAGTTCAAGTCCTTGCTCCATGGAATGGATTTAAGCTGGGGTTTCCCACATCTGCAAATATCCTAACCCCTGGGCTAAAAGTTAAAATGGGGGGGAACAAATTGTCTTATTTTGCTGGCTTGCGATAAGTTTTTTCCAGGAAGAACTAATTGGGTCAAATTCACATAAAGTTTCAGGTCAACTGAGACGGCATGTTTTGGCAAATTAACTATGTGTTCAAAAAAAAATTCATAATCTAGATCTCTAAGGGCCAAATGTTGCCTTTGGATGTGTCCACATGCCTCCTGTTTAATTCAAAGAGAGCCCTGTAAGCAGAGCCCAGGATGGAGAAAAGACTATCCCAGTCTGTTTTCAAATACATCTGAACAGTATTCCCAAACCTGGTGTCTTTTAAACCTTGTGGAGACTATACAGAGCTGCCTACGTAACTCTATCCAACTGAGGAGCTGACTTTGAATTTGCAGAGGGTATGAATTAAAAGCAATTCTTGAAATTAAAAGCACAGAAAAGATGTCTCAGAAGCAGGGTCAACTGATTTTATTTTGACGACAACACCAAATAGTTCCACCTATTAACAGTAAGTGGGATGGGGAGGGGTTTTATGCTGGGCAAGCTCTGATTACACCCACTTTGGAAGAGATCTTTACTGAACTTAGTAGTGAGGAACTGCTAATCAGGAGGTTTTTAAGGTGTCTTTTAGATTTAAAATCAAACTAATTGGACAAGGAACAAGGACTACACTATTTACCAAAGATATAGATATAAAATGCACTTGCTGGAATTCTCTACAGAGTAATTTTGTTTCCTACAAATGTCATAGGGAAAATTGTAATGGAGAAGCCCAAGTTTTCAGAAGTAACTAGTGATTTTAGGTGTCCAACTTAAAGCACCTTTAAAAGGGGCTTTTCAGAAAGTTTTGAACTTCCACCCTATGAAAATCAGACGCCCCTGAAAATTTTGACTGCCTAATGTACTCATCCAGCAAGGACTTCTTGTCCTCACCATGGGGATGGAATAATGTACAGCATGAGGATGGTCCATAAGGATACAAGTAGACTTTCAATGTGGTGTCAATGTCACACCTATGCGGGTAGGGGAAATAGTGCCCCTTGAAAATAATGCATAACCCTAAAGCAAGTAACAATTGCACTTGACTTACAGTACTCGGGGCAGGAAACTCACAAAAAGCCAAAGCTAATATAACAATAGCTAAGAAGTAAGATGACATCAATTATTGAAGTAAAGGATAGGTTGATCCATAGTACCAGACTGTCAATATTAATTTAACATAAGTGCCTAGCTAGACATAACCCTTTGCTCTCACATTACACCAGCCTAATAGAACAGCTTCCCAGCACTCACACTCATACTCATGCATGCACAAGCCCAAACTTCTCCTGGAGTTCTAGTTATAAATGCAGACTAATCTACGGGCTTTCCTGGGGCCTGTGTCTATCTCCTCCTCAGGTACATCAGGGCTGTAAGAATTTCCACAGCTTTCCTCTAGAGGACTGATGGGGTAATTGGGCAAAAACTGATTCTCTTTCCCCTCCCCTGTGCTAGTTTCACAACTGCCTGGAACATTTTCTTGTTTTGACATAAAATGAAAAATGGGCTCTATATCCCCCAACACCTCCCTCATGCCCACCCGATAGATGTGTTTACTATGTAGTAGTAGTAGTGTTCTAGGTATCAATTAATAGAAGTACTGTGCCTTTAAAAACTGATGATTGGGTACTAAATCAAGAGAACTTCCTAACAACTATTACCACTCACTGAACAGAGCAGATCTATTACTCCATCATAACTGCAAGCATGTCATGTTTTTGCTATAAAAAAAGCTTTGTGGGGATATTTATAATATGCTGAATTAATTCTTACAGCATACTGGGAAGGAGAGCAGGTAAGTTAAAGATTTATCACTAACCATACTGTTCCCTAAGCACATATAATAGATAACAGTGACCAAAATAAACAGTTGCAGCAGTGAATGAGTAATCCAAATTTATTTTAATAGATCTTTGGGCTGATAGCTGCCTTTTAACCTACATATTGTTTGTAGTGTTGTTGTGGCTGTGTTGGTCCCAGCATATTAGAGAGACACAAGATGGGTGAAGAAAATCTCTGTGTAGCTCAGAAACTTGTCTCTTTAACCCAGATGGCACAATTTAAGGTAAGGTGAATCCAAGTAACCTAATTTCTTTCTAATGCAGGAAAAATAAGTGCTGCACTGCTCTGTTGTGGGGGAAGGTCAGAGCTCATGCTTGTCTTCTGATCCTGGGAGTGTCACTTGCACACTGCCTTCAGCAAATCATTTTTGTCTCAGTTTCTGCAACTGTAAATCTGGAATAATGATGGATTGCTTCACAAGTGTGTTATAAATGTTTCAATAGCACTATGGGCCCAGAGCCAAAAGGTGTTGTGTAAGTGCCAATTATGGTGCAATGCCCTCCCCAGACTGGGAAATAGAGAGCTGCTGGGAAAGGGCCCATGAAACCTCTGTGAGGTTCATCTAGTAAGAA